CCCCCACACACACACACACACTCACACGACACAAACCCAGGGTCTGCGGGGGCGGTGGAGGTTATTTGTTTGTTAGTTTTTCGGGGGTCTCTGCACATGTTTCTCAGAATGATAGACATGTGCATGTACTTACAAATTCTGGTTCTTCTAACATAGTGTAAAGCAACATATAACCCATGGCCATGGGGGTGAGAAAGAAAAAACGGACTATTCTCAGGCACTGCGTAACAACACTACATGTACACGCGCTTCACAGAGCATGACGTATTGACAGCCTTAAAATTGCTCATGACAAAGCTTCGGCTACAGTTCAAATGTCAACAGACGCACGCCACCGCTGACTATGTGGGAAAGGCATCGAGCCAGTTCGAGATTGAAGATCGGGCGGGGTGATTGAGTTTGGGCCTAGGCGGGGCACATCTGCTCTAGAGAGGCTGTTCGAGAGGACAACAACAACAACAACAACAACAACAACAACAGAACCCCCATTCAAATAACGTAGGCCTATCAAAGCAAATACATAATGTATATGTATGAAAGTACCGATATCGTCATATAATTTATTGAGCAAGAATTCAGAGAAAGACAAACCGTGTTGCTTTACAACAAAATATATAGTTCTACAGCAGTTCACGTGAAACACCGGGACCAGAGACGGAATGCGTTGCACACAAGGAGATTAGAAGTAATTGATAATCTAGTGGGTAGGCTGCCGGGCTTGTGTTCTTGATCGTGAGATTGGTAGTTCGGGAGTTCGAGCCTCAGTTCGGTAAAACGTAGTAATCCTTTTGAATAGGCACACACAAATTTTCCAATTTGGCTCGGTTCTATCGGAGATGGACATGAAATTCGGAGATGCAGCCTGAAATTATTAAATTTAGCATTTTCAGGATGGAGTACCGCGTAAGGCCTTGATCCTTTACTTCGACGAGATCGACAGACAGACAGACAAATAGATAGATAGATAGATAGATAGATAGATAGATAGATAGATAGATAGATAGATAGATAGATAGATAGATAGATAGATAGATTTACTTCGACGGCTCGGTAGTTTATAATTAGAGTAATTAAGAGGGATTATTCGGTCTGACCGCCATGATATTGGAGAAGAACGCACATGGGGATTTTGACTGCACACTAGACGGTCATATAATCGCCTAGACTGCACACCATCGAGTAGGCCCATAGCCTAGGCGATCATATGACCGTCTAGCCCATAGCCAATTCATGGAGATAAAGACCGAGTTCGAATAGCACCTGATTGAGCCGTTTAATTAGTTGTTTCAAGAAGAGTAGAATCTAGGGTTTACAAAAGATGCCCCGAGATAGACAGACATATAGACAGACATACAAATAAATATGTATATATATATATACATATATATATATATATATATATATATATATATATATATATATATATATATATATATATATATAGAGAGAGAGAGAGAGAGAGAGAGAGAGAGAGAGAGAGAGAGAGAGAGAGAGAGAGAGAGAGAGAGAGAGAGAGAGAGAGATGGAGAGAGAGAGAGATGGAGAGAGAGACCGAGAGAGAATGAATTTTACTTTCTCTTTCAGCTATTAAATGAACATGCATATTATTTTAGTGAGATATGATAGATTATAGATAGGCCAACAGCTTCTGCGCTGAGCACTGAGCAATGCGCGCGTCTTTTGTTTCTTTCGTTTCTTCCTTCTTCTGCACCATCTTTTACAAGGCACATAGCCTTGCTGATCAAGGGGAGACAACTGTAAAAAATTGTTGTCTATTTAAATTGCCAAAAGTTTGAGGTGGCCGCAATAGGCCGCAATGGTAATGGGAGTGCTTGACAAAACTCTAAATTCTCGTCCTGCGAAAAATCGAAAAATTGGGTTCAAGAAAACGACAGCATGTTTTGCTTACACGCTTGATCGAAGGGATTTTTCAACATAGATCTAGATCTGTTCAAGCAACAATCTTTGTTGTGTTTTATAAGGTGAGAGGGTGGACGTTGATGACTGTCACTGTCAGTGTCGTGATTTTGATGTCGTTCTGTCATTCACCATAAACTTTTCAATTGTCACTCTACTGAACTGTCATTGATTGAGTGTGTCACTCACTGAGTCACCGTGACTACTGTAGGCTGTTATGGTCTTAATTCTTAAGGACTAGATCTAGATCTAGATTGGATCTAGACATTAATGGTTTTCAATATTTTCATACATGATTGATTGATGATTGCGCCTCAGTCTCAGACATGCGACTCCTCCGGGCTACGATTTGCTGAACTTGTGGGGGTACTCTAGGAATTCTGGGTTTCGGTCTCGAGCCTTTGACCGTCTTCTCACCGCAGGTTGAGTGGTCATAGAAGAAGAAGGAGAATTGAGGAGGAGGAGTAGCAGATCATAGAATAGATGGAGGAGGAGAAATGGAGAAAAGAATCAGAATGAGGAGGAGAAGATGCAGAAGACGAAGATGAAGAAGGAGGAGGAGGAGGAGAACAAGAAGAAAGAAGAGGATGAAGGAATAGAAGGAGAAGAAGAAGAAGAATCTAGATCTAGAGAATCATCAGAATCTAGATATCTAGATCTATATCTAGTCTAGATATCTAAGATCTAGTTTCGTTGTTACCTCTAGGCTTCTGATCTGTAACAAAGAAATCTTTATAAAAGGTCATTTTTACCATCATCTATCAAAATGCTTCCATCTTAACCATCTTGTATCAGTATACTTACGACCTTAGAGCATGCATCATTTAACATTGAGTCTGTATATCTTAAGATTATTATTGTTTATATTGCTGCTCATTTATATTATTATGCATGTGATTGTAAGCCAGCGTGTGTGTGTGTGTGTATATGTGTGTGTGTACATGTGGCGAAACACCAAACAATGTGCCAGAATAAAGATGCTTCTTATCTTATCTTAGTTAATGTAAAAATTTCACCGTGATGTGTATCTATTTCTATTGGGCTCGAATCCAAGAAGTTCAAACTCATTTTGTCTGCACTCTTCACAAATGTCTAAATTGATTGTTATTGTCTTAAAATCACTGTATACTTTATTGATTATATATTCTCTGTATTTAATATTTTAAAAAATTTATAGGTGAATAGCCCATGTTTATTGAACACTGACTTTTTCATCTTATTTTCGCTTTTTTTTCAATTTGGTTGATCTTTTTCAGGAATATTAATATAATATTATGATGGCTTCATCGTGGGCCAAACCTGGGAACAGACAGAAGGATCCTTGGAGCATGGAACAACCTGCACAGAAAAAAAGAAAACTGGTTGCGGAAACTTCACAGGACAAGGATGACTGGGACGACAGTCTTGAGCTGACCCAAGCTGACCTGGAAGAGATGGATGTCATTGTGTCACAGGCTGTGCAGGTACTGGTTAGCTCTAGTATCTTTATCTCTGATTTTAGCATTCTAATCCTTTAGCGGCCGTGCAGACTAAAGCTTAAGAATTGGCTGGAGAGAAAAATGGGGGTTAGGTCTAGATCATGGTAATTATTATTGTCTGAATTATCAGCAGCAAGCTTGTCAATGTGAAAATGAATATATATAAACACTTCTGTTATTACTTTGTTGATCTGATTTAATTTATTCAATTAATAAAGATATCTCGTCTTGCATTTAACTCACTGAACCCTGAAAATATTGGTCCCATGCTCTACCAGCTGTGTCGGAACTCCAAGATCACAACAGGATTCCCAATTTGACCATGACCTCGTAAACTCTTGTACAATTGTGACTGAATTACTGAAGATGTAAGAACAAATCTTTTTCTTTATTTTTAGGCTGAAGACACAAAGAGTCCTCCACCAGCATCAAAACCTGGGCAACTGCCAGAGTCTTCCTTTGTGGTCCCAACCCTCTCACGACGAGCTTTGCCTCTCATGAACTCCAGCTCAAACTCTGACAGCTCGCTCTCTCACCATCCGGCATCTTCTTCTTCAAGGCAAGGGCTTTTACGATAGTTATCAATGGCGTCAGGCTCTAACTTTATGCGCAGTTATGCAACACAATGCCATTGATGTGTTTGTTGATAAAGACTTCAGACATGCAAAAGTGTTGGTGATGATGGAAATATCAAAAGTTGATTGTTTACCTTTGTCCTACTTTGAGGAGATCTCTGGAGAAAAAGCGGGATTGAGACAGAAGCAAGTATGATGATCTCCTTTTGTTTTGACTTATTTCATTGCTTCTTTTACAGAACCTCTCATGATAGCAGTCGCTCGTTGTCATCGCGATCGTCAACGGGGAAGAGTGACGAAAGCACAGAGAGTCTCCATTCCTTGCGGGCTAAGTTGGAGCAAGAGGTAAAAAAGATTTTAAAAGTTCCTTGAACTGTGCTTATAACTTATGGAACTTTTTCAGGAATTTTCTAATATTTTTGTGGTGTAAAGCAATTGTAGCTTTTAGTCACATGATTGAAGATCTGATTGATCTCGAAAATGTGGTATTATCGGTGACAGACGCTATTGTTCAGCAGTGAATGCACAAGTTTCCAATCTGAAAATGTCCAGTGGTTTTGTTCTAAGTATCTGGTTCCCAAGTAGAATAGAGTACTTTTTTTCTTAGTCGTCTGGCCTCTGTGGTACAGTTAGTAGGAATTTCTCCTCTCATGCCAGTCCTGATCTGGAACCAAGTGCTTTCCTGCAAGATCAATTAAATTGTTTCAACGAGCCTGTGAAAACTTTACCAGTAAAAGAATATTTATCATATCTGATCAGCTCCCGAGAAAGAGTTGTGCTTGTAAAAAGAAAAAGTAATTATATGTGAGACTTCGTGGTGAGATCAGGCGTAATAGAATCCAAGAAATCAGTACAGTATTTTTCTACCAGTTTCGACATTTTTTTCGAATTTTTGTTTTTTGGCTCAACACCTTGAATGTCCACTCAAAAACACTTTTATGTGTGGATTTTTATGGTAAACGTTGATTAGAATTAAAGGCACAAAAAATGTAAATTTGCAGTTTCCAAGGACTCCAAAGCTATGGAAGTCACCAAACTTTGGCAGCCATTTTCTCGCTAATTTTACTTCTGAAACCAGGCGACCCTGCCTCCTTCAATCACAAATTTCTCAACTTCTATTCAAGATGAATGAATATTTTTTATTCCAAAGCAAGGCAAATGAATCACCTTTAAGATACCATAACTCCATGAGCCCAAAAATTGACGAGCGCCTGATTCTACCATGTCTTGACACATATTAGTTGTGAGTCTCACTGAGAGTAGGGTTTTTGTAAAACTAGTGTCTATATAATATATAGTGTTTGTGTTAACATCTTTTTTCTTACTTTTGCCCAATAATTTATGGTAAAGATTGAATGCTTGCTGCTGACGTTTTGTATGAAAATTTGTGTGTGTAAGAAAGAATGTTTTTGTCATAGAAGAAGAAAATGTACTGAAAACAATTGTCATGACTTCTTTCCTTTTCCAGAGCAAGAGAGCTCAAGAAGAGAAGTATAGGAGTGAGGGGGAGGTGAAATATCTCCGAGAGAGTCTGCACAAACAGGAAGAGGAATTGGAGAAGTTGCGGACACAGAGGGATGAGATCCTGGACGAACAGAAGCAGGTCAAGTCAGAACGAGAGCGACGCTTGCAGCAGCAGCTGGACAGCCTCACGTCTCAGACACAGTTTAAGGTGAGCTCTCCTTGCCGTCTTGGTGTTAGTGTCAAGTCGGAATGTGCACTTTTCCTCTTTAGTTCTTTGTCTTCTTCTCTTCATGTTCTGCTTCTTTTGTGCTACTGAGGCAGGTGTCTAATCGTTTGTAGCTGTCAACGGCCAATGCAATGTACACCTGGGACTACGGGGGATCTTTTGTGTAAAATGCTCAAGAAAAAATGCTCAAAATTATTCACTGACTGTGCTGCTTTTATGAATAGACGATGGAACTGGTTTGAAGTTTATTTTTGCATTGTTCAAAGGAGATTCGATTTGTGTTTTTCTGTGTGCTGTATGTTTATTTTATGTATTTAGGTTTTTTGTAGTTCAGCGGCTGGTGTGGATTATACTCCCTTCCAGTCCAGATATGGAGCCAGGAGGCTCAGTTTTTCTGTCGTAAGATGTTGGCAGATAAATGTGAAGCACTGTACCGACTCAAGGAATGTTGGGCATGTGGCCGCCTGTAACATGTTCAGTGAGATAGAGAATGGTTCACCAGCCTGCACACAGAGGGATTTTCAGGGTTTGTGGTGTAGTGGTTAGTTGCACACCAAATATGCGAGTTTGATTCTCTAATGTTTAAGATATTTGTTAAGTATTAGTCGTAAAATATTTACAATACTTTACCATGGTGCCCAAACCCAGTGCAAGTGAAATGGGGCCCTTCTCTACTATTGGATATTGGCGAGTCTTTTTTTTTCTTCTTTTTTGAAAAAATGCTGGACCAGATCCTCTAGCAACAGACTGGCATGAAAGAAAGCTGGACAGAGGAATGCAACTAGTCATTTGTATGTAAAATCATACTAGCTATCCCTCTTCCTGAGAGGCTGTTGCATACCAGTAGCACCTCACTAGCAGGGTTATTGTGGCCCCTGTTTGTGTGCTAGCATACTGCATAGATCCCCCCAGCCTGTTCAGGGATATATTTTCTTATGACTTTTTTGTACCTGTAACTGTTGTAACCTTTTTTTGCAGGAGAGAGAGCTGCAGGAACAAAATCAGAGCCTACAAGAAAAGCTGAGAAAGCTTCAGCAGCAGCAGCAGTCGTTACTCAGGTCTGCTGCTGATCGGTCCGGGTCAGAGATCAGTTCCTCTCCGAGACAGGCGAGCCCTAGAAAAGTAAGTATTGGGTTGTGGGTGAGCCGTGTTTGGGTGACCAGTTAAAGTAAAATGTTTGTTGCAGTTTGGTTGTTGATATATTATTCTGAAAGAAAGGGGTTACGTTTGATTTTTTTAGTCCTTCTCTTTCTGTTTTTATTCTAGTTTTCAGGATTTTTTTTGTTTTTAAAGAGCAGGCTGCACAATATTATTATCAATTTCTGAATTGTTTTAGAGCCAGTTAAGTTATCCAGATCTTGGTCCTGCAGAGATGCCAACCAGTACGATTTTACGTATTTTAGTACGATTTTTTGCCGAAAATACGCGAATACGACTTTTCATGAAAAAATACGCATCCTGGAATGCGAAAAATACGAGATTCAGCTTGGGTGAGTAAACATATCTCAAGTCCCATCTTTTGTCAAAATAGTATCAGTATCGCAGAACTGGAATATTTGAAAACCAAGTCCGATGTGGTTAGTAAGTTTATTTTTGCCGGTCGCGATCGTGATATTATATTCGTTCAGCTTCTCCCGGTCTGGAGAGTACGTTTCACTTTCAAGCGAATAGGCAGCTATGGCGGCAGGCGGAAGCGTATGTGACACCGAGGCTGGATCGGGAAAATCAAGATCTACTTTCGCTTTCGTTACCACCGAGTTGTTTGCCAGCAGTTGTCTGATAACGCAACTTTTGTGACATGCAGGTTGTGCAGTATAAACGCAAGGTCGCCGTGCAAATAAAATTTAATCAATGCTCGGACTCGCCTCTGGGCTGTCACTTGTGGAAAAAAATGAAATAAAATACAAGCGTCGTCCGATTTTTAGATTGTCTGGCTCGCCATCGTGACCGGTCACTGAACCTGCGCGCATTCGTGTCATAAATAAATGCGGCTTCGTGTGAGCAAAGACCGTCTTTGGTGGGAGTAACGGCCTTGCGAAGTATAGGACTACGGAATAGGGGAGGAGATTATTGATTTTTTGGGGGTTTAAGATATTATGGGGGAGGGTGTGAAGGCAACACCAGAGGACAAAAACTTGGAAGCACATTTCAAAATTTTGATTAGAGCTTTCTGCAAAGCGCGCGTTGGTGCAGGCCGTGTGCGGAATCGGGACCCTTCAAACTTTGCAAGTCTGTGTTATTGAAATAATGTGTTCGCGTTTCATTGGATGGGTGATAGTAAATTGGGTTCCCTAGTAAATTATACCTAGCCTACAGTGTGTGTTGTGGTTTTCTGTTCAAGACTGGTAGATTTTCAGTGTCACTACATCTTGCCCTACCACAGTTATTACAACTCTCACAGTGCATGGGTCTACTTGAGTCTTTCAAGTTATCGCTTTTCTCTGAGTTTGAGCAATAATTTGAGTCTGTCAGTTCATAATATGAATCATGACACCCAGGCTGGTTCTTGATTGTCGAAATTTTTGTTCTAGGCCCTTCCGAACTCTCAAAGCAGGATTTATTTTTTACATACTGTAATAATGAGAGAAAAATATTACCGGTATAATAGACTGAAATATTTAAGTCAAACAAGACCCCAGTACGACACTGAACACTGACATTTTGTTGACTGGATACATGTATATTGTGCGTGTGTGGGCTCCCTTTTTCAAGCTGGTGAGCTAGTAATTTTTTTTCAGGAAATATTTTACTATTACTAGTTGGTCGGTCGGTCGTGGGGAATACACATTTTCCCCTGAAAATACACTTTTTCATATTTCCCAATACTCATTTCGGTTTTCTGTGGTTGGCATCTCTGGTCCTGTGATTCCAAGACTGGAACCCGTCTGCTATGTGGAGAACTGTAGTCCTGGTTTCTTAGATTTTGAATGTGGATCACCGCCCTGAATACGACCTCAGCTTGATCCTCTTCATTTGAAGAGGCTGGATGGATGAAGTATTGATGGATTGGAGATGAGACAAAGTTTTGCTAATTCTCACAGTAATTTGCTGTTAAGGTAGCTGATGTTGAGAAGCTCATTTATTGTCATGTTTCCATCACAGAGTGTTTATGTGACTTCACAATAACTTTTATAGCTGACCAGTTCATTCAACTTGACAAGAGACGTATATACCTTTGAAGCCTGTTTGATGCTCCAATGCTGTCAATCATGTTTTACATCCCTGTCAAATGCCAAATATCCTTTTGTAGCTGGGTTAACTGAGGTAAAATATTTTCATTAAGCATACAAATTGGGGATCTTACCCATGAAATTGTGATTGGGAGTCTCCCATCATAAATGCAAAACAAAGACTTGGATGATTGTATCAATGAGTGACTCTGTTTTTGAGTGCCCCTAACTGTAACTCATTCCAAAGATAACTTATCATGTGCTGCTGATATGATTTCTCTACAGGTTCCTGTAAAACCAAGTCCTCCGAGCAAAGCGAAACAGTTAAAGCTTCTTAAAGGAGGCAGTTCGGAGTCTCAGGGCTTCCCTACCACTTTTTCTTTTATGCAACAGGTTTGTTCCAGATAATTTTGTATCTTATTACATATTGTCTTGGTGCTATTGAGAATCCTTTAATAGTGCAGAATGTGGGAAAAATCCCAGAACGAAAGTGAAATGTAAATAATAAACACAGCTTAGGCTGGCCCTTACACACAGAGTCAAAGAATCTTCTAATGGCCAAAGTTGTGCCAATGAAGATATATGAAGCATTTTACAAGAACAGGGAGAGGACAGAGTATTGGGGTGAGGGACCTGTGGACATTAAAAAAAAATAGTTTTAACTACGTTATGACGTCATGGTTATAACACAGGTGGCCAAGTAGGCATGGTTTTTCAGGCTTTTTACATGCTCCGACGACCACAGAAGTGCCTCGGGACCGGTTGCGAACGACGATAACGATAACCTGTAAGCACACAAGTTAGTCTGCTTTGACTATGAAAGTTAATTTTTACGAAGATTATTGGCCACATTCCTTTCACTGTTTTGAAAATATGATAGCATAGACGTAGGGTAACAAACACACTAACAATGTCATCACTTAGAAGTGGCCCCCATGTGATTTTTCGGCCTACTTTTATTAAATGCTAGGGATGAAGATGACGAATTATTTCCAAATTTTTGGTCACTCTATGCGAGGAGTTGGGAATGAGGGTTGTGTCCTGCCCCCCAGGACAGCCTGGCGGGGATCTAGAGTAAGCACCAAACAAACTTAACACTAAAACTAACACGCATGTCATTTCCTACATTGGAACATCATCATCGCCAACATAAATAATCATCCTCATGCTCACCATCACAATTACCATTACCGTCACCATCGCCAACAACATCATCAGCATTATCATCATCATCATCATCATCATCATTACCGATTCAACAATTCCCCTTTCATATAACAATCTGCACCATTACTTTCTTTTTATGTAACCAACAAAAATGGGCACCAAAATCAGGACACGGGGGGAAAAAAAAAGGTGGCCAAGTAATTTTTTGCTGTTCGAGAAAACTTTTTTAAAAACCCAGTGTTTACGTAAGTGAACTTTATGACTTGAACAAAAGTGATAATGTCTCAATAAAAAATTAGATTTTTAGTACATGAAACAAAACCCTGCTGCATTGAGGAAAGGAAACAAATAGCAGACATTTTTCCCATAGCAATAACTAGAAGACTCAAAAAAGAATGACTGGCAGTTGTGTTATAACCCTGAAAATGTGCATTTTGCTGACAAGATGTAGAACCACTCTTGATGTAACGCAACAAATGATTAGATTTTTAAAACACGATAATGAAATACCAAATGTTACTGTGCAAGTGCTCAAACAGCTTACCCATTTTCTTTTGTCTCTTTTTTTTTTTAAGCAATTTTTAGTTCTTCTGCAGTCTCTTTGAAATTTAAAAGATTTTCGACTTTATCGATCCCTACCCTATAATATAATATAACATAATACTCAGGGGTTATCAGGACGTATTGTGACATTTTTTTTCTTATGTTTTTTGCTTGCTTTAGACAAAACCAACTCCTCAAGCAACATCTCCCGCGTCTAAGGCAGCCACAACATCTATCTCTTGTCAAACTGATGGAAGTTCAACAAGTCAGCTCCCAGGTATTGTGAAAATGTTAACAGGTGGTCAGATGGAATCATTGGGAGGCCTCTTTTCTTCTCTTTCCGACTATTTTTTTTCCTGTCTGTCTTAACCTTTTCCCTACATTAGATGACTGTTATTGTGTCGTGTTTATGTTTACTCTAAAAAGAAATCCCCAAAAACCACATCCAAACTTTAGATGTTCTTATTGTCTGCTGAGTAACTTCCTGATCTTTCGTTGTATTATTAATGTGATGTTTTCTTAAATCTTTTTGAAGATACTGGTAGTGAACATTTTGGATAGGTCTGTCTGTACATGGCACTGGGTCAGAATGCAAAAGTTAAAACCTCCGATCTGTTTGATACATATAGAAATCACCGTATTTTTTTTGTTTTGGGAGGAAGACAGTTGGGGAAGTTCTGCAGTAAACTTGCAGCTCTGTTTCAGTCTTAAATAGGCGTGCTGAAATTTTGGTAACATTTTCCTTAGCATACTCCTCATCCCTGTAACTCCAGCTTATTTTGGTTTGTTTCGGGTGGGTGGTGGACACTTGTGTTGTCTGCTGTTCCTATTTCTTTTCCATTTCGGTTTTGCCCTCATCCCTTTCTTGGAAAATGTTGGCACTATTGTTTTTATTCACAAACACCTTCAATTCAGCAAGAAACCTTTTATGGGTGGAGTGATTTTTCAAGTTTATAACTTCTCATTATAAATCTTCTTTTTGTGTCTTAACACGACATGAAAAATAAAACACATTTTTATAGTGGCAGCTCCCCATCTTGACTTTGTGCACTCTGGGCGCTGTATCCAAAAATTAAAACTACAAGTCTGTCACTCAGTAAAATAAGTACAGGTCTGTGCACAAACACTGCATCAGACATGTACACACTGCACGAATATGTGTGCACACATACAAACACATACATTCCAACCACAGTGTACATTGGTTCTGGCCTCTGCATTATTGTCTTGAGTAGTTTTTGAATGCACTCAATCACATTTAGCCATGCTCTACATAAATGTTTTGCAGGCTCTACAGTTGTTGCCGGAGAAGTGCAGCCTGCAGTACAGAGAAGGCTCAGACTCAACATTCCTGCAAACTGTAGTAAGTGCTCTCAGTCTGTTCCTCCCGTCATTCTTTTTCCTTTCGGCAAAAGGTCATCTATAGCCAAGTGGCCGTTTTAAAGTCCTCCAAACAGAGATGTATCCCTTGACCTGAAAAGGTTGTACACCCCTTCTGGCATAATTATAAAAACAACCCATTACCACTGGTAAATTTCTGTTGCCTTCATCTTCCAGTCTGCTATGATCAAATTGTTTAGATGATTTTGCAGTCAATCAAAATTGTCCATTTTACTGACAAAAGAGATGTGCTTTCTGTCTGAGTACAAGTGTGAGTGTACATGGGTATGAGAGAGAGGGAGAAAGGAAAGAATATTACCTGTGCATAGATTTCTGGTTTGTATTGTTTCTGTAAGTGAGCTTATCTTTGACTGTTGCTGTCAGCAGCTGAAAGATAGAAAAGGTCTTCTCATTTTATTTGTATCTTCTTTGTACATCATCTTTACACAAACGTTTTTTGATTCTCATACTGTCATATCTGTATTCTGTCTACAGACAGACACGAAGTGGTCTCGGGCAGTCAGGTGGTCACTCAGCTCCTGCAGTCCAGTGGCAGTTGTGTGGAGTCAGTGGACTCGGACTCAGAGTTTGACCAGTGGGACCCAGGCCTGACAGGACTTCTGCATGCCATGTCCACCTCTCTCACGCTGGCCGGCCTCACATACAGCCGAGGGAGAGAGGCCAACTTTCTGTCTCCGATAAAGCCTAAGAAGTAAGATTGGAGTGTTGTTGTTGGCATTTATCTAAACACAAATCAGGATTGTCCAAGACAGCCACCCATTGTTGAAGAGAAAAGTGGTTGCCATAGACAAATGGAAACCTTGGACAGCATCATTAAAATATTTTTTAAATGCAAGGGATGAAATGGGAAGTGGTTGTTTTTACTGGTGATTGTCTTGGACAGGTGGCTATTAGAGCAGGAACTCGACTGTAGCAGGAACTTGACTGTAGCATACACTCAGTTGATTTTTTTTTTCAGGGCAGAGGGTAGTTGAAAAGTAAAGCACAATGTCACGATCATGGTCTTTTAGTGCTAGATAAAAGCAAGACACACAGACAAACATTACAAAAGATGTAACAAAGTAATAATTTCAAATAGCTCGCGCCGACCACCTGCTAGCTCAGAAGGTAAATCTATCATGCTGGACCACAGGACGGACAACCCTGGTTTGAATTCTCCTCATTCAGGTGTTTGAGGAATTCTCTTGGCTCTTTGGCCACTTGAGTCTGTCCTGTCAGAGGTAGACATGAAATCAGAGGTATGGCCTTTTAACTGACAGTACTGGTTTAAAAAGAATTTTAAACCTATATCATATGGTACCTTGTCTGAAGTAGAAAATTGATAGCTATGCCATCTTAGCAGATTTGTGATGATGTGATTGGGGGGGGGGGGGGGGGGGAATGTCTGAAATGAAGCGAGATATTCTTGATCCTTAATGCCAGTTCATGGAATAAGGGGCGATCCAGCAACAATTTCTGTTCTAGAAATACTGCTTTTCAAGAACTGCTGTTTTCCAGCTTTCCTAGGGTGATGGGTTTTTTTTATTGTGTCTTTGTGTCTTGTCTTGTCTCAAGATGTAGACTTTTGCTGTGTATACTGTGTTGAATTTCTTTTTGCTCTCTAAAGGTCTAGTGGCACCAGTAATATTTTTTCTTCTATTTTACTTCTTAGCTTAGTAGCTTTACTCCTATGCTAAGTAGTGCCTGCCTACTTATTCAAATATTTTAAAAAATTAACACCACTGTGTCTTTGATGTTTCCCCAGGCATGATCTGTTAAACAAGTCTTCTGGCTCGTCCAGAGATGGGAATGTCCAGGTGGTCAGCAGAGAACACTTCCGGCTGGCCATCGGGGGCCTGACTATGCTGCTGGAGGAATCCAGCGGCCACAGGGAGAAGCTACTAGGTAAAGAAGAGATGTTTGTCGCTGCTGCTTTCTGCTTTGTCTTTTTATTTTTATCCTCCTCCATTGCTTTTTAAAGAATTATATCTGCTGCTTAGTGTGTGACTCCACAAATTATATAGATTGCTTAGTGTGACTCCACTAGATGCTGTTGTGAAAAGTGATTTATGATGCGAGTCTTAAACTGAGTTGTCAATATTTGCACTGTTAGCTCCCTTGTTTTCATGGTATCGCACGTTTCTTTAGAATTCTGTTTTTCTCTATTACCTCCCTTATTTTTATTTTGTGATTAGTCTATAAATATGATGTTTTCAATGTTGTCTCCTTCACAATACAGTCGATACTGTTAATAATTATTCAAGATCAGTCGCTAAAAAAAAATGACCATTATTAGCAGGTGGCCTCTTTGGACTGGGTCTCAGTTATGGTCTATTAGTAGACTTGAAAAAAAATGATCTTTTTTTAAATCTTTCCTTTTCATTTTTATCAAATTTGTTTATCTATCTTAAAACCTTGTTGACCTTGATCGAACGTAAGCATTTAATCTGAGGACGGCTTGGTGGAACTTTTGTAGCAAGTGACCCCTTTGAGCAGGTTTTGAGGTTGACCTGTTGTGAAAACGACTGGCCATGTTGGGAAAGGACTGCTATGGACTGGTTAAAAATGTAGAAATAAATGCAAGGTGTCATGGAACAGTGGCCTTTAGCACAGGTGACGGCTTTGGAGAGGTGACTGCTGATGCAAGTTCAACTACATTTGTTTTCTGCTTCTTTTCCTCTGTTAGTCTCACATTTCTTTAAGTTTAATATGAAGAGAAAAGAGTCCATACTTACCATTTATGCGCATTCTCCTTGCACTCTTCACAGATCTGATTGCAAGAGATGCTCAACTGGGAGACCCGAAACCCAGTAGCAGCTACAGAGAGAAAGATATGATCTCGGAACAGAAACGTGATGTAAATGGCAACAAGTCGTTGGAACGAGGAGGGACGGGTCAGGACAGAGACACAGTTTCCAGTAGACCCACAGATAAAAAAACTCCGTCTTTCTCACATTCCTCGTCCGTCAAAGACTCTAAACAGAGTGGTCACATGGCTGCGGTGCTTCTGATTCCTCTTCTCACGGATTACATACAGCATTACCTTGACCTCTCGCTGTCGGCGGCACACTCTCGCACTGCTTCGTCAGCTCCTGCAGCTGCAACACAGTCCTTAGCGGCCTCCAAGTCGTTCTCGGTCAGTCTGGACTCTACACGCACAGCAGCGAGCTTCGGCAGTGTGGGTGGAAGCCACGACTCCAGTCTCGATTCTCTCAGCAGTTGTGTTCTTCAGTTGCTGCACGAGGGGAAGATGTACGCCAGCAGTGTGGAGTCTTACGCGTTGAGTGCCTTAAAAACCTTGCTGCTTCTGATTCGTTTGTGCCCTTCTCTTGGATACATGTTGGTGACTTCTGTTGGGGATCAGCTGAGGAAAAGATCTAGCACCAGTACCGTGACCACTGCCAGCAGCTCCTCTGCACATGGAGCTTCTCTCTCCAAGGTTTGTGTAGTGTTCTCTCTCTCTCTAAGGTTTGTGTAGTGTTCTCTCTCTCTCTAAGGTTTGTGTAGTGTTCTCTCTCTCTCTAAGGTTTGTGTAGTGTTCTCTATCTCTCTAAGGTTTGTGTAGTGTTCTCTCTCTCTCTAAGGTTTGTGTAGTGTTCTCCCCCTCCAAGGTTTGTGTAGTGTTCTCTCTCTCTCTCTAAGGTTTGTGTATAGTGTTCTCTCTCTCTCTAAGGTTTGTGTAGTGTTCTCTCTCTCTCTAAGGATTGTGTAGTGTTCTCTCTCTCCAAGGTTTGTGTAGTGTTCTCTCTCTCTCCAAGGTTTGTGTAGTGTTCTCTCTCTCCAAGGTTTGTGTAGTGTTCTGTCTTTCTAAGTGTTCTCTCTCTCTCTCCAAGGTTTGTGTAGTGTTCTCTCTCTCTCTCTAAGGTTTGTGTAGTGTTCTCTCTCTCTCTCCAAGGTTTGTGTAGTGTTCTCTCTCTCTAAGGTTTGTTAGTGTTCTCTCTCTCTCTCTCCAAGGTTTGTGTTGTGTTCTCTCTCTCTCTTTAAGGTTTGTGTATTGTTCTCTCTCTCTCTCTCTCTCTCTAAGGTTTGTGTAGTGTTCTCTCTCTCTCTTTAAGGTTTGTGTAGTATTCTCTCTCTCTCTCTCTCTCTCTCTCTCTCTCTCTCTCTCTCTCTCTCTCTCTCTCTCTCTCTCTCTCTCTAAGGTTTGTGTAGTGTACTCTCTCTAAGGTTTGTGTAGTGTTCTCTCTCTCTCTGAGGTTTGTGTAGTGTTCTCTCTCTCTCTCTCTAAGGTTTGTGTTGTATCATTTGTCCAAAGTTTGTCATGTATTTTCTTTCTTTCAGTTTGTGGGGTATCTTTCGTCTTCAGTTTGGCATGTATTCTACCTCTAAGGTTTGTGAAGTGTTCTCTCACTTTGGTTTGTAATGTATTCTCTCTCTTAGGTTTGTGATGTATTCGCTGTCAAAATTGTATACATATGTGTTATACTCTCTAAGGTTTGTGGTTTGTTCTCTGTGGTTTGTGATGTAGCCCTATCTTCTCAATAAAGGTTTGAGAAGTTTTTTGTTCTGCAACATGATTAGACTTCGAAAAAAAAAGGGGTTGGGGGTGGCAGGGTAAGTGATTGGTGTGTTTTGTTTGTGTGGTCAGCTCCCTGAACTCAATGAGCTGTTACTATTTTGTTACTTTAGTGAAGTTTGTTGCTGCCAAAGTGTAGCAGTGTTGTGTTGCTATAAAAACTGCAATTTCAACACGACAACCACATATTGAGGAGATACTGCAGTTCCCCCTGGAACAACTGATATCTGAAAAGCTAGTTTTAGTTTTTTTAAAATATGCAGTTATGAATTATATTGTGTCACGAAATAGTTGAATCGGGCGCTCATCAATTTTTGGGCATGTGGAGTTGTTGGTATCATCTTAGAACTTGTTCATTTGTGTTGTTTTTGATGAAAAAAATACCCATCTATCTTGAATAGAAGTCGAGATTATATTCACAATTGAAGGAGGTGGAGTTGCCTTGCTTCAGAGGTAAAATTGGTATGAAAATGTTTGCCAAATGTTTTTAAATGTACATATCGCGACCTGAGTGCTTTCTTGTGGTATCTCCATTTTTTTTAACATTGAAAATGTGACTTCTTCTTAAGCTCATTCTTTGATTTGAATTATTTTCACTGTTTAAAAAAATGGAGATACGACGAGAAAACACTGAGGTCGTGATATTGTGTTGAGCCAAAAACCAAAAATTAGAGAGAAAAAACTGCCTAATCAGCCATCAGGCGAAACATTTCCTTTTCTTCGATTTCCTTATATTGACAAGCGCCTGATTTCACTATGATTACCTCACATAATGTTCTCATTTCGCCAGCTGCCATGCAGAAATATTGTGTCATCTTCTTGTCTAATGTTTATTGGACATTTTCTGAATGCATGTATGTATACTGCAATTGTTTTTTTCACTGTATTTGTGTTTTACTACCTTTGTAAACATATTATATCCTTGATCTTATCATCAACATTCTTTAATTTAATAGCTTTTGTTGTTTATCTTAGTTTGGAAAATATGGTAAAAAAAGTGATTGTTTTCTTCTCCAGACTCACAATAATTTCTTTTACCTTTGACCTGGAAATTTGTTTTCTCTTTAAGAACGTTTTATGACTTGGTGGAAAGCCATCATATTGAAACAAGCCAGTTGGGTCAGTCTGAGGTCGGCCAAAGTCAGACTTAGGCCTTGGTCACAACACATACCTTGATATTTTTTCACTTCCAGCTTTGAGCATCTATTCAAATCTTCCATTCTTCTGTTTGGGAATTTTGACTTGTTGTCTTAATAATGTCTTAAAGAAATTATATATGTTAAAGAATTTCAAATAATATTGTACGCCAGTCCCTAGCTTCAGTTAATTGTGTGTTTGTACTTTGAAATATTACTGATTGTCTTTTTTTTTTCCTTTGTTGTTTTATAGAAAAGCACGTCAGGTGCTGAGGCGGACGATGAACGCAGCACTAGTTCCTCGGAAGTTCGTGTGATCCTGGGTGCGTACAACGTATCTCAAGCCAGCTTTAGGTCACAGGTGTCAGCACATAGCTGTGACAGTCGGAGTGACAGTGCCCTGTTGATGAACCTGCTGCTGAACATTGCAGGCCAAGACCTTCAGGTACAAACAAACTGACTACTGGAATGGGTGCTCTTTCTTTCCTGTGAAACATCTGTTGTCCTTATCTCTCCTTCTTCTTTATTTGTATGTAACTCTAATAACACCTCTGATTTGCAGCACTTATAAGACCTATTAATCCTATCAAGTTTTGCAAGTGCCATAACACTCTTAATGAAAGCTAAACTAAACTGATGACTATAAGGGCTTTTTTAAAAGTCGGGCTTACAGTTATAGTGTTCTTTCTCAGAGGTCCTAATGTGATGCTCAGATGAGTAAGAGATATCTCTCTCTTTCACTGGCATCTGTGTTTAGCAGTTAGTCGGCTCACCATCGCATGCTCAAGCTTTGGGATTGATTTCCATCTGGGGAGAATTACAGTGTAATTCGGATAGCTCGAATTCGTCGGGAGCAGCCTCGGTTGTTCGAGGGATCTGTATTATGGGGAATATTTTACAAAGATTAGAAAGAAGAAAAAAATGGGAGCGGACACAATTCGACAGATGCTTGATTATAAGTCTTCTCTGTTCAACCTATCTGTGTTGTACTGTAATACGGAGCATCTTTGCCTTTCTTCAGGGATGTTTGTTTCCCTCTCAGCCCAGGTTGCCAGTCTTTTTTAGTTTAGTAAGAGTTTTACGGCCCTTGCAACACAATATGGTCATATAATAAGTGCCGAAGAATAAACAAGAGAGTAACATACACAAAAAAGAAAAAGCTGAGATAAAGACAATAGATGTTTAATAGGAAAGAAGGAGCAAACCACACCAGATCACCCGCCAACCACCCTCTTGGCCAGTCTGTGTTTGTGATGACATGTTTTATCCTTATATCCAAGTTGTAGGATGCTACCCATTTTAATGTTTAAGCACACATATCATTGTTGTTACTGTCATCAGAACATCCAAAGTTTACTTTGCATCCTTGACAGATAGCTACCTTAGAATTACAAAGTTCTGTTTGCTCAGCACCCAGTTTTGAGAAATTTGACATTTAAATTTTGAATTTCACATATCAAGCTTTTCAAATGCAATTCTTTGAATATCTTGAACATGACTCTGAATAATCTTACAATTTTGATAGTTGGGATAGAACAATTGGTTTCTGACTTCATGGTCTTAGTAACTCAAAATGGCCTAAAATGTCAGATAGCTCTTTATAATTCTGAGCTAGCGTTATGTCATAGCTCTGACTGAAATCACTATTCTGGTGGACGTCACTACCTTTTCTGCTCAGTGTCAGTCTTTTTTGTGTGCGTGTGGTTGGAGGTTTTATGTCCTCCAATTCTTTCCCTTTGTTATTTCTGTCTATCTCTGTGCACTAAATGACCACTGTTATTACAAGTGTAAATGTGCTTGTCTTTACATGAAGATTCTTTTTCTCACTCTTTAGTACCAGTTCTTTGCCGTGCAGCACGTCTGAAATGTAGATCAAATTTAAACATGCATTTTTATTTATATTCGTTTGCTTCTTTCTTTTCTTCAACAGGATAATGCTTTAAGCCCTGCCATCGTTCAACAGGCGCTCAAGGTCCTCGTTCAGTTATGTCATTGCTGTGAAAGTGATTCACAGTTGGAAAAGTAAGGCTCTTTTTGGAAATATCTTACTACTGAGTCGATCGTGCAAGAGTGTCAGATTCTTTTTGAGTTGTGGACTTGTGATGTGTCCATCATGACAAAAATTTCTGGGGGTGGGTGGTGGGCGCTCTGGTGTGGTTTGCTCCTTCTTTCCTATCTAACGTCTATCGTCCTTATTTCTCCTCCTTTTGGTTTGTTTGTTACTCTCTTGTAACACCTCTAATCTTTGGGACTTGTATGACCTTATTGTATTGCAAGTGCCGTAAATCTCTTACTAAAACTAAAAACCAGATCTCTGGATGTAGACTTTAAATAATTTGTTAAAATTATGTAATCCTTATTGTTTTACAGTACAGCCTCTGTCAGTCTGTATTTGTACAAAGAAGAGTTGACCAACAATAGTAATGTGGCTATTTTCACTAATTTCTCTGTCCAGCGAGAAAAGTCTGAAGTGTTTACATTTTGACTTGTCAAATTTTGTATCATAGTTTTTGTCTTCATTATGGTGATGAGTCGCGAAAAAAAATAGATTGTGTAAATCTTGATAGATCGAGATGACTTCCTTGAACATCACGTTGACGAGATTGAACACTTATTCAAGAATCTGTATACCCTCAAATTGATAGAAGAATTGTAAGTAGGTGATATCAGTGCTGAAGCGATTGCTTGTGTGTGTGTGTGTGTGTTTGTAGTTGTGCTGTTCATCTAAGGGCATTTTGATTGAAGGGTGGGTGAGAGTATTTGGGAGAGAGATTTGATATTTCCTTGTGTATACTTCCCCAAATTAGTAAGTGTAAGGGTACTTGCATTTTTGTGTGTAAGGGGGATTGAGCTCTATATTAGTGAAACCACTTTCTAATCCAGTTCTTTGTCATTACTATTATTATTATGATTCTATTAGCTAGTGCTAAGGCTCTTTTCATCTTAGTGGACTGTTTTTCCTCTCATTAGAGAGCTGGGAAGTGAGGAGGGCATGGTGGACAATAGTTCCGGAGTCCAGTAAAATACAACAGGACTTCAGCCCTTTATTTCGTTCAGATAGTTCCTCTTTGTACAGTTTCTGACTCTTATGTTCCCCAAAGGAGAGGACTTTCAGTTTCTGTCAAACCATTTCTCTCATTGTCATGCTATAAAACAACTTTCAATTTCTGCCGTATTAATTCATCCAGGCTGGAGGTGATCTTGAATCAAGGAATTCTGAGCACCTGTCTCCGCCAAGTCCAGCACTTCCAGGTGAGCCTTTGGGCACAGCGTCTCCTGACTGGTCTGTCTGCCTCCAGGAAACTGTTCCAGCAGCTGTGTACAAAGTCAGGTACTGTATCTTTCCTCCTTCTGCTCTTTTTTATTCTCCTGTGTTCTAGATTGTTTTTGAGCTGGAATCCACAGAAAATCTCCTTGTGGATGGGTGGCAGGCGCTCTGGTGTGGTTTGCTTCTTAGATTTTTTCCTATGGAACATCTATCGTCATTATCTATCCACCTCTTTTTTATGTGTTACTCTCTAGTGACACCTCTAATTTTCAGCACTTGTTTGACCTAATTGTGTAACAAGTGCCATAAATCTGTCACAAAAATCAAAGTCTCTTAGAGAATGGGCATGAGTCAACAGGAACAGTAATGAAAATAACCTCACATGAAAGAGATAGCTCAATCAAATTACATGTATACCTGAGCGCCCCCCAACCATGTGCTGTTTTTGAAAAATGTTGGTGATATTATGTAGCTGCTGTTACACACAGCAAACGATACTGTAAAAACTTTTATTCAAATAACTACATTGTTTTCTTTTGTTTGCAATCTTATCTCTACAAAACAAATTGAATTCCAATACTTTATCCACAGAATGCATCACTGATGGTATTGCATATTTGAAAATTGTTTGAAAAGAGAGTATAAAAGTCTAAGTGAAGTATATACAGAGATCTTCTAGGCTTAAATGATACGCTGAAGGTCTAGGAAGATGTCCGATGCTCTGTGCACCAGTGGTGGATTTCCGATGGCTATTTCCTGCATGTGTCTTTGTCTCCCCAGAGAGCTGTCTCCTCTATCTAATGCACAGACTATGCCTGAGGAGGAGCAGCGATCACACAGAAGCAGAAAAGATTTCTCTGTATTGTGAGGTGAGTGTTTTTCTCTTGACACAATGTACTGACTCTGATGTAGTGATGTAAACCATTTTCAGTATCATTGCTCTTCAGCTTATTTGGGAAAATATCGCTACATCGTCTAAGCCAGCCACTTGGTCCTTAAGAAGACTGGTTCTGTGTTTGTGTGCAGAAGGGAATGCTTAAAAGCAGTTGAAGAAGGGACTTTGTTTCAGGCCTAAAACAGATGGGATACTGATATTGTGTTGATGTACCGTTAAAGTTGTATAAGGTGACCTCTAATTGTCGGGGAGAAAAGTGGTTGTCTTAGGTGGACATACTGACAGTATCATTCAACAGGAGAAATGGGAAGTGGTTGTTTTCACAGATGATTGTCTTTGACAGGTGGCCTTTAGAGCAGGTTTGACTATAGTTCTCTTCACTCAAATGAACAAACAAATCGTCAGTGTTGTCCTACACTTCACAAACTGCCCTGTACCTCCAGCCTGTTGGAGGCACATTGGGAGAAACAAAAAACCCCAATAAACTTCACATCATAAACAAAGTGGGCCCACGAAAAAAAAGTCCAGAAGAGACGAAATCATTTTTACTTGATTACGTATTGGGCACACCTCCCTGACACATAAATACCTCCTTCAGGGAGATGAAAAACTGTTCTCTGTCGGATGCGACACAGATTTTTCCTTCAGACACATCTTAACAGAATGTCCAGACTTTGGAGAGGCCCAAAAGAAGTATTTTTTTTAATGCAAAAAGTTGCAAGATCTGTTCTCTGGGGTTGTGACCAACAGAATTCATGATTTTATAAAGGCCATTGGCCTTTACAATGAATTGTAAGCACCGTTGTTTTAGTTTTAAGTAAATTGTCATTTTTAGATCGTTATTTTACCACAAATTTTTATACATTTTAATCTGATCTTTGATCTAAGCCATGTCGTGCTGTGAACTGTTGTGACTGCAACCAACTTGTGTTTCGTGTGCTCATATGACCTTTTGGAGTTGCGAGCACTGTAAAACTCTTACTAAACTAAACTAAAGTGCCCTGTATGGTTCTCTCCCTCAGCACCTGCACAGTCTGTCCACCATCATGTACCAGCACAAGGACAGCTGCTCTCTTCTACTGACAAACTCTTGCCTCTGTTCTGAAGAGGTAAGTTCCATTACTTTCAAGTTGATAGCTCCCATGGGGATGTCACTTTTTATAATGGTTACGTTGTTCTCTTTTCGTATGAATTTTTTTTTTCTCTCTAGTGGAGGTGTGATGAGGTGAAGTTCCAGCGACAGTCTTGCAAGTTCTCTGAACTTTAAAAACGAACAAAACAAAACAACCAACAAAAAAATCCCCACGAACTAAAGTCTGTACAAGAAGATGGAAGTCAGGGTTGGCTTTGGGGATGACTGCTTTTAGCTGCATTGTATGAAAATGTTGCATCAGTGTGGTGGCTCTCACCTTATCTGCTGCAACTGAATAACAAAGCCTGTTAACGTACACAAGTTGCACAGAGGTCATTTTGTGTACCATACTAAATTTCCACATAGACATCTAGTAAAACTGAGTCTCTGTTTTTTGGGCGGGAGGAGGGTTGTGTGTTAGTTTGGTTTTCTTTTTGTGTATGTGTTGTGTGTGTGTGTGTGTGAGAGAGAGAGGGGGGGTAGAGATGTACCATGTATGCTTCTTTTTCTTTCACTTTGTTCCTGTTTGTTTTGGCAGTTGGTGGTGTCTGTGATCGTGGCCATGGACAGACTCTTCTCCCACTACTGTGACACGGAGCGTTCTGCTACGCCTCCCCCCCACCCCCGGTCCCTCCTGAGGGTGCTGGCGTCGGGCGTGACTGTCATCCACACCCTGGTGCAGGCCGACCCTCTGTTTGCCCAGCACCACGCCCGTGCTCAGATGCAGTATGTGCGCACGCTGACCGGACTCACTGCAGTGTTTAGGGCGGACCCAAAGGAATGGGAGCAGCATTGTGAGTGCTTCAGGGGGAATTATTCAACCAAATGAGATTATGTGCTCCGGTTCTCAATTTTCACTGTGGTATGCAGAATTCTGAGGTGTTTCCGAACAATTCTATAGAGGCTGCAAATACAGATAGAAGTCAACAAGATTTTGATTTGTGTTGGTCATTTTATACATAAACTTCATCCAAAATGCTATCACTCTGAGACCATTGACTATTTTTATATTAGGATTTGAAATTGAAGACAAAATACAAGTTTGTTTTTTTTTTTGGTCTTGTTTTTCTTGGTACCCTACCCTATTCTATCATCTGGCGCTTTTGTGTTTAGTAATAACAATCAACTGTGCAGCATTTTGGGTTTTGGACTTAGCTGTTAGTCTTAAAGTAAACATACAGGAAATTGTTTTACATGTAAATAAATACATGAATAAATAAGTAAAACAAAATAGGTTTCTTCACTCTTATAGGGTTATTTTTAGTAAGTTACTCATCTAAGTGTTGCCAAAGCCCCAACTGGAGATGGCTGCCACAACTGGTTAGTAGTTTGTTGTGATCATTCCTCGGCTCTTTCGAGTCACGAGGTGGGCATCCTCTGTCCCACTCCCTAGTGGAGTCATCTTTACCGTGTCACCAAAGGTTCCAAAAGTTTGCACGAAGTCTCATACTAATGTGGTGACTTTGTTAGTGTTAGTATCTAACCTACTGGGCCAAGATAAGTTGGTAGGAGGGAGCAGCAAGAGATACAAATTTTGCTTGTAAAGGGGGTTGTGTTTTTTAGTGTTTGCATCTGCATGTTTTAGTCTTTTCTTAATATGTGTGCACTTACGTTGATTTTTGTCGGACATACCCTGTTTAGTATACTTTAATCTCACGGATTGTTTTCAACCGGATTGCTTATCGAAAATAACAAGTACCAAAATACAAGTTTAAAAGAATCGTTTTTGTTTTGCTCTACCAGAACAAAAACTGTAATAATATCTGATACACAGGTTAAGAAAACATTTTTTTTAAATCTTTTTTTTTGCTTCTTTACTACCTAAGGGACAATACTGGTTTAAAAATGGCAAGACTTTGTTAGCAATAACTTGCCACTTTCATTTCCCAGGCCATCTTGAAAAAAAAGTTAAGTACTGCTACTCGTATGTGATGGATGCAGTATGCGGACTGTTGTAGGGGCTGCCACTCATATGTGGCTGGCACAGTCTCAGAGTTAATTCTGTGAGGTTGCACTGACAATAGTGTGCTTACGTTGAATGTATTGATGTTTGCCGCAGTTACATAATGCGGTTTATCACCAATGCAAGTCTAGACCACCATGGTTGATTATGCTGTACAACTCGATTATCCAAAGTTAGTTTGCTTTGTATGTTATTCTGTAAGGTGTTGTATTTATTACTCTGATATTTATTTCTCTTAAACGAGTGGTTGGTGGCTGATCAAGTTTGGTCTGATCCTTCCACTTCTTATTTTATTTTTATCCAATGATGATGTAATTGTAAATGTGCGTGCGGTTGGATGTAATTGTAAATGTGCGTGCGGTTGGAGGATGCCACTGGTAGATTCAGCTTCTTTTCCTGCCCTCTATTGTTCCTGTCTGCCTGTTTTACCCTCTGCGTGCCCTAAGTGACCATTACTGTGTCAGTGTGTTTCTCTAACTTGGGATGAAAAAGAGCATAATGTCCGAGTTACTCAATGTGTCTCTGTCGGTGTAGGTTTATCCTGACAGGCAGTGTCTTCTCACGAGCTCTATTTCGTGCCAGTCTTTCCACTTAGTTGACGAACCCCTGAATTCCAATTTTGTGGCCCCTACCCCTCTAAAATTATTGTAATTTCATTGGCTAGTATTATTATTTTACTTTCACAATCTGTCCATGCGGGTGCTCTGATGTGGTTTGCTCCTTTCCTATCGTCCTGATCTCTCCCCCTTCTTTTTTTATGTTTGTTACTCTCTTGTAACACCTCTAATTTTCGGCACTTATATGACGTTATTGTGTTGCAAGTACTGTAAAACTCTTATTAAAAAGCTAAAACTAAAAAACTGTCCATCTGTTGTTTTGTTTGTGGGCATGCATTTTTCAAAAGTAATGGGTTTCTCTTTAAGTCAAACACACAAGCAATCAAATAAATACCCCTCCTGGTTTCAACAAGTTGTGTACTCAAGTGTCCCTCTCTTTGTCCTCAGTGCCAGCCTTGGAGGAACTCTGTGACTTTGAGCCAGACTCTGGGAACTTGTCCCAGGATGGTGATGGTGAGGACAGAATGGACCAGTCCTGAAATGAGGGTGGATCTTTCCTAATGGAAAGATGACAAGTCTTGGAGAGAATGGACCAGTCCCAGAGAAAGGGCAGAATGGACCACTCCCAGAGAAAGGGCAGAATGGACCAGTCCTAACATGAGTGAGGACAAAATGTATTAGTCCTTAATTGAGGACAAAATGGACCACTCCTGACAAGAATGAAGACAAAATGGACCAGTCCTGACGAGAGTGGGGGACAAAATGGACCATACCTCGAAAAGGGACGGAATGGACCCCTCTTTAGAGTGTGAACCTGTCCTTAGAATGAGGGCAAAATGGACCAGTCCTGACAAGAGTGGACAGAATGGACCAGTCCTGACAAGAGTGTGGACAGAATGGACCAATCCTGACAAGAGGGAGGACGAAATGGACCAGTCCTTAGCGTGTGGACAGAATGAACCTGTCCTTACTATAGTGGGGGACAAAATGGACCTGTCCTGACAAGAACTGACAAGAATGAGGACAAAATGGACCAGTCCTTAGAGTGAGGACAAAATGGACCTGTCCTTAGAGTGGGGACAGAATGGACCAGTCCAGACAAGATTGTGTGAACATAGTTGGCCAGTCCTAGGGAGAGAGTGTACCTTTCTTTGAGAATATGTGAAAGTATGACAGTGTGTCGGAGGGCGTTGATACCATATTTTTAAAAAGAAAAATCCCTAGTGAGCTGTGTCTGTGTGTTCATTGTGTAGCAACACTGGTGTGATGTGGTCGTCTCTTTCAACACCATCTTCATTTCAGTGTTGTTGCATTAACTCACCGGTAAGTTCAATCTTGCAACAATGGCAAGTTCTACTTCACTGAAAAATGTCACCAGTGTCGTCCGTGGTGTAGCAATCATGTGCCTTCGCCGTTGCATGCAGAAGACCCGAGTTCGATTCCAGTGTGGCCCACCTCATAAATGATCTAAATCATCTGGATGGGGGAGTAAAAAATTGCCATTACGTTTTTGTGAAGAATGTTAGTGTTCTGCAGGGGTGATAGTAATAGCATTTGTATGTGTGTGTGTGTTGTATGACAGAGTGATTCGATGCTCACGCAGCCTTCATATATTTTTGTACAGAGAAACTTGCAGTGTACCTTGCTTCCAAGAAATTTGTTATGCCTAACTTTAGATTAATCGATTGCGAGGTTTCAGTGAAAGCAGGCTCCGACAAAAATGTGAGCTTTTTTTTTCTCAATTTTTATTGATAATATTCATATAATTGGGGCACCAGTTATGAGTGTCAAATTGCAATGTCATGTTGTTAGAAAAAAATGTGAGCATTTTTTTTTCAATTTTTATTGATAATATTAATATAATGGGGGCCCCAGTTATATGTGTCAAATTGCAATGTCTTGTTATTCCATGGAAATACATGTATTCTCTTTATTGTAGGCTGTTTATACTGGTTACTAGATCTAGGTCTAACTTATCCTTCTTATGGGTTCTAGTACATTGGACAGTGTACTCAATGGGTGAAATCAGAAATTTTGCTGGAGAAAATAGGCGGGGCAAAGACATCGTATCAGGGCTGTTTTATAACACTTTTGTTACGGCATAGGTATTCAGATATTGTGGCTGCCTGGATTACACACTTGTGTTGATGTCTTTGAAAGATGGCCTCTGCTTAGTGGTGATACTGATACAGAAATACTGTACTGTAATTTATCTGTTAGGTTGCTTTCCATGAACAGCAAAGAGTGATACTCAACACGCATGCATTGATCTCTGAGTCAGTTGCTTAAACTTAGTCAGGAGTGGGTCCTGTTATAGTTTGTCACGTACAGGATTATAATTTATATATATATTATATGCACGAAGACACATGTTTGGCCTGCTTGTTGGGCAAGTTATTTTGTTGTGTACTTACGAGGTCGAGATCTCTCTTTTCAAAGATATGGTGGATACAGTTTAATTTCTTTAGTTTAATGAATTTTTAAATATATAGGTAATCCTTCTCCTTTTAGGTGATTAACTTTAGCCACGCATTTCACTAGAGAGTTTAGAAAATTGCAACAGAAATTATTTTGGTGTCGTTAGAACTAGAAAACCTTGCTCTATAACATACTAAAAATGGGCACAAATCGGAGTGAATGAAATTTGTTTAAAAAGCCTTTGAATATGCAATTATTGATAGAGTATCGAACTATCTAATATCGATACGAAATTATTTTAGTATCACGAGCTATATCTCAGCCACACCTTAACCCTACACTACGACAGGGGACTCTGTCCCGTGAAACCAACAGTTCAAATCCTATTTCCTAATTGAATGGCTCTGAGCCTGATATGTTTATGGGGAGTCAAAAGTAAAATAGAGTAATAGAGTATGGTATTTTGGGTAATCGATACCTCTTATCACGACTTCTAATTGCAGTGGAATCCGCCTGCTGTGTTGTTCCCCACCCCACCACACCCTGTGGTGCGTTCCGTTTGCCTGCGCACGCATGTCACACATTCGCTCCATCCATCACATCACGGTGACCTCTCCATCCTTGCATCGGAGAAGTGAGAGGCATGGTAGGCCTAGATAATCTAGACAAGGCTGGTCTATCACATGATGCGTTCTGCTTGTCTGCGCATGCCACACCCTCCCCACTCATTCGTTCCAGCCTTCATTGTTGACACTTGTGGGCTCTCCCCTTCTTTATTTCGTTAGTTCACCAACAAGTTTGTCAACTTGCGAGGTTTTACATTATGTACCATTGGCCTATGCTCTGTGCACAGCAGCAGCAATATTCCGCCCTGACTGACTGGCGTGTTTGTCTGATTGCGCTATAGCAGTATTTTATTTACAAAGACAAAGAGGAGAAAAAAACGGGGTTTTAGAATAGTGTCTTTATAACAGACTTCTTGTTTTTTCAGGATTCATTATAAGTGGACTCCACTGTACTTATAACTTATAGAGAGATTAATGATTGTATGAGGCAGAGAGAGTTGGGATGGGGAGGGGGGGGGGGATTTTTATGTAGGTGTGTTTTGCGCGCACATCAATGCAAGAGGTGGGGGAAGAAAAACAAGAATAAAAACAACCACAACAACGACAGCAACAAGAATTTCAATTACGTGATGTACAAAACAGTTTGTACTCACATTCATTGTGATAAGAAGAGGGGATTTTCCTCGGACATGCTGTCTTCGTCTCCATCATATTGTGTTACAATCCCAACGTTTAAACAGCTGGCACCTTTGCATTCTTTGCAGGCAAGAGAGCAATCTAATCCATTCTTCTTGCAGGTACATTTCATGGAATTGCAGTCTGATTTACATGAGCATCTTACAATCTGGAGACGCTCAAGTGGCGCTGGTGCTTTGTCCATATGAACTGGAAAGAGTTTACCATCTGAGCTTAACTTCCAGCCCCTACACTGTGGCTGAAAAGTTGTATCTGAGTCTGAGGGACTTAACCGCCGCTGGACTTGAAGATGCTCTCTTAAAGAATGATGCTGTGTTGCTGATGAGGTAGGGGGAAGGCTCCTGGAGTGAACATTGATGAGCTGATTGCTGTTTTTTCTCTAAAATGTTGATACTTAAGTGAATCTGGGCTCTTACACTTAGAAGAAGGACCTACGAAGGTAATAAACATCGCTTTTTCTCCACCTTTGATTATGCTTCCTCTCTCTGTAACGCCAAGAAACTCCTCAGCAATCACCTTTAGTTCATCGACCTCGATCAGCTTCCGAATGAACTGTTTCTTTCCCAGGCCAAAGATCCGTGATGTTGTATCACATTCTGAGAAAGCATGGGCAAAAAGTAGACATTTGCACAATCTTTCACCTAGAACCTTTTGCAGAGCATGAATATCCCAAACTCTTTTCTCTTTTCAAGAGGTTTGCTTAGGTTCAGGGACTAAATATACTGTACTGTCCTGTGTTTTGATGTGGAATAAGAGTAAGAGCAAGACGAGGAGATCGGTGTCGTCAGCCACTAAAACAGTTGGAGAGGATTTTGAAGATTCCATGGTCTTAGCAATGTTTAGTGAATCTGCATCGTCCTTTGCATGGTACACTGTGCAACCATCGTTTGTTAGGTGCTGCCAAAGCATATTAATGAAGCACTGTTTATTGTTTGCTTCACAAAATCATGTGTTTGTTATTGGAGACAACCATGTTTTGCTGGAAGGAAATGTTAACACTTACACAACTTTCCCTTCTTCTGATGTGAGCTACATCTTTGGTAGTTGGCCCGTCCTCGTATCCATCAGAGACAGCAACAGCAGCACCATATTTTTTGCAAACATAATCACTGTACATTTTGGTTACAGCAGAGTAAAAGTCACACCTCGTGGCCATGGCATGCGGTATAGTAAAGCTCCTCTGTCAAGAACATACTGGACTGTGGACGGCATCTGTAGTGATTGGCATGAAGCCATGTATTCATTCCACTGGTCATCCGCAAGGGAGGACCTGTTGGCTAGCAAAAGAAGACCACTGGAATCAAACAGTTTGGGAGGAAATGTGCATAACTCATATTCAAAAATTGCTTCATTGTCTGAAAATGCTCTCTGGGCAAGCTATGTCAGTCTTTGAAATATGAGTTGTTGATCAATTTGAATACTTTCATTCTCAACTTAAGCACACGTTTTTGATGCCGTTGTAACAGCTTGGTTCCTTCTCTGAAGTGTCGTGGGGGTGACAGGCTTACCTTGTATGTTTCTTAGAATCTTCAGTCCTATTTCTTTAGCTTGATGTGCATCAACACATGTCTGTTTCAAGCCCATTGGTTAGGTTCCGAAGAGAGTCCGTTTCTTCAAATAGATTTCTTTCTTCCAAGAATCTGAATTACGTGGCAATATCTTCTACATCTCTAGCTGTCCGGCTCTTTGAGGCATCCCTGTGTTGATCGCTTGTGCTGTAGGAAACAAGGGTCAGATTCTGAATCGCGATATTTATACTAGCACAGGCTGGCATGGCGAGAGCCTAGATAGTACACTGCTGTTCCCCAAAACCCTTTCCTCTTGAAAGGCCCCATTTGACTTGATGTGCCTCATGAATACTTGTTCAATGGTGAAATTTTGGAAAGCATGACTGTTAGACTCTTGCAGCTCTCTCATGTTTTTCAGGTATACAGAAGCAGATTATTTCAAATAGTTGTTATGCAGCAAAATATGGCATCATACAGGAGAGGCTGTCCAGATGTAGTAAAAAATCTCCTGTTCTCTCAGCTTTTAGAAAAGTGAAAAGGATATCGATCATGTTGAGGTACTGCATCCAGAGATCACATGTCCTTTTGCCCTTGAGAAATTCCAAGTAGCATGATAATTTTTCTCTCGGTTTTCTGATGCACTCGTGATTTTGTATACTTTTAGTGGTCTTTGATCCATTCATTAGCTCTTCAACAAGAGTCACTGCTTCAGAGATTATATCCATGTATGCTTGGCGTGTCTTGGAGTGTGCATTTGAAATAGTGTCATCACTGCTACATGGTCAAGGGACGGAGAGGTCATCATCACATTCGGCTGTCTCTGAATGTTCTGGTGGGCAACCTAAATCAGTTTCTTTCAAATTTTGGGTCTGAAGCACCAAGAGTTTGTACAACGCTGACTGGACGAGGAGGTGGCCCCAGACAGCTCTTGCGATAGACTTCCCTGAAAGCATATGAACCACAGTGTTCTCTGCATAAACAATCTCAAGAAGTTCCTCCAGTCCGGATCCTGCCATGAGATGTCCTATGCACCCAACAAAGCTCATTTTGGTGTGGAATGGTCCTAATTTTAGAATGACGGGTTTCCGTTGGTTGTTAAGGGTTTTCATTTTCTATGATGCATGTTTCTTTCCAAAAGAGGGGCTGATCAAAAGTGAAAATTGGCGTGGTACTTTGTTTGACTCCTCACACACAAAATGGAGGGTGGAGTAGATGCACGTTGGATTTGTTGGGTCCATGTCGATAAGGGGCTGGAACGTAATATCAGATTTACCCTGATGGTCTGACTCAACGACTGTATGCATCACTCCAGACCAGGAAGGTGTGGACATCCTTAATGGTCGACTGATTTTCCATAGAAAGTCCATGTCATCAATGTAGTCTTTTGAACTTAACGGAATCTCTTGGATTTCAGGGTAGCCAATCCTTAATGGGGAAGCAAACTACCCTAAAAGTGATTGATTTCTACTCTTCCAATTAGGACATGTGGTTACTTAAGGGAGGCATTGCGCTGCCAAGGGCGAAATGCTCGCAGCTAAAGGGATTGGAAAACAACAACAACATACTCTTCCTATTCGTATGACCTCTTTCATGGACACAGAAGACCGACGAGGAATAACAATTTCTCTCGGTCGAGTCGGCGTGAGAGCTGCCATTATCCCCATGCCATGAAATGTCCCTTTTCCATCCAGTGTCCTTATGTTGTGGTCAACGTTGTCTGCCACAAAGTGAATGCATGTGTGATCAAAAACAATGTTTTTCGGCAATAGAAATAAAAGTGTTAGAAAAGTCGAAATTGTTTGCTTAAAAAGACAATTAAATGGGCTATTTTTCATCTCTGCAAATGCGCATGACGTTGATAATGAAGTAGGCTAGACAACAAAAGAAACACAGTGGTACTAGATCTAGATCTACCCTTAGAAGATTATTATTGGCAATGATTTAATGCTGAAAAATAAAAGAATGATAGATCTGCATGTTTTGCATTATAATTTCATGCTACAAATTCTTTTCTTTTTTTTAATCATAACATTTAATGATAAAACGAACTTCAGTGCGGAGTTTTAGTTTTTAAAAAAAATTTTAATAACCTCTCGCCTCTCATTCTAAAGTCAAATTAAACATAGAAAACAGTCGCCTCCTCCCCCGGAAGAGTTTTTTTTTTGTCAGTGTAGTAACCATTTTAAAAAAGTGTTCTTCCGAAATTTAAATTCTTATTTATTCAAAAACTTGTTAGTTTCACTTTGATTTTTTTCTCATAAGTTGGGTAACTCTGTTCGCAAAGGGTGCGCATTTGCGAAGAGGGCGCCACCAAATTTTGAGGACACTTTTTTAATTGGCTCAAAGAGAGGAGTTGACCATCTTGTTATGTATGATCATTGGTAGACTCTTTGGTCAATACCAGTATCGAAGAAAATAAAGGCAAAGATGTCGATTATTATGACGTCTTTTTGGCTATGATTCCGTACGAATGTGCACAACATGTCACGTCCGAAAGAAAGTACGAGAAACCAATTGGGTAATATTAGAAGTTTTGCTTTTTTGACCACTTTTAACGGATTTTTACATAATTTTCTCCACGACTTCAAATACCGATTTTTGATATATTGACACACATGATTTTATCTGTCGAACCAAGCAATTTTCATTTCTATTGCAATTTTTAAGGGTATTCTGTTATCTTTCTTCCACTATTTCCATGAGTCCAAGGTTTGATTAAATCTCAGGTTTTGTGGAGGCAAGGTTCACTCACACTATATTTTGATCATGTACAGAGATATTGGTAGACTACATTACTTGTATATGTTTTGTTTTGATTACACCAAAGTATTAAAACACTATATCTGAATTCTTTCCAGGTCTTTACTTTATTATATGCATGTACTCGTCTTAGCAAGTCTGTTGTGAACGTTCCCACGCACGCACAGCACTGTATGAAAAAAAAGTTGTTCTTTGGATATGGTGAGAGAGGATCGAACTTTGACCTTCAGGCCATTTGGAGTACAGGCTTTTTTTTAAACAAGCGACAACTGACCTCTTGATGAGATAATGATACTAATACTAGCCTATGTGTTGTAATGATTCGATATTCGACTCTTTGTTGTTGCATGCTGAAGTCATGACTTCAATTCCCGAGTGGGGATGTTTTTTATAATAAGTACAGTACCAGTAGATATAACCTGTCTGTCAGCTGGGATTCTGTATCATACTCATTGTACATTTGTACTCATACCAAGGCCAGTTTCATCCTGGCAGGCTAAGTCAAAGCACCCTTCTTCCTAAATGAGCTGCACTGTTGATAGGGTATACGACAGTACACTTTCAGTTTCAGTAACATAAAAGAACGATTCCGGAGCCCCTTTTTTCTAATCTGTCGCCGTGGTTTCATGCACCCCGCATAATTTAGCAAAATTTGATAATTTCTTGCTTAATTTCTGATTATTTCCCTTTATCGTTCTTTGTTAAAATTAACAGAATCGCATAATTTCACATATTTAGGCTCAGTTTGCAGAATTTCAGAAATTGTTTTTGGCCTAAAACCACGTGGACAGCCTAATACAGTAGTGTCAGTAGTCTAACATGGATAGGTCGAACACAGAGAACTTGAAATAGCGCTTCCGTCGAACTGTGCCTGGGGTCCCATTTTGTTTCCTTCTTTGTATTTGTAAGATATTCCTCGAACTACAGCTCCCTCAAACTGCGGAGGCCTGTCCTGATGAATTTGAGCTCTCCTTGTTATACTGTACAATGGGGTTAATAAGTATTTACCTCTGCCCATTGCTGTCCACATACATTAAAAAGGTCCTGTAAGAGGATAACAATAAATAATAAATAGCATTTGTATAGCGTATACCCCGCTCTACAGCAGGCTCTATGCATTTTACACTATATTATTACCCCAGCAGACCCTAGAAAACTCCGAAACATTCTCAGCTTCCCGAGAAGCATACAGTGCAAGCAGCTGATTAAGCGCTCAAACACTATCAAACTGTCAAGATCTTTCGCTGTCTATAGCTGGGTACCCATTCCCACCTGGGTGAAGTGAGGTAAATTCATGTAAAGTGCCTTTCCCAAGGACACAACGTCGGGCCCCTGACGGGATTCAAACTCACGACCTTACGGTTGCGAGTCCGAGAGCCTGACCACTAGGCCACTGACGCCACAAAGATGTAACATGTCTCTCTGTCACAAGTACCCAGTGGGACCACAGCCGTCAATGTGAGTCTCTGGTTGAACAGGCATCTTGGTGCCAGTGTACTTGACAGTCTACCTCGAAGCGGATCTGTCTGACAAATAGATATTCCACTTATCGGTCTACTAGTTGATTACAATCAACAACCTGATCTTATTCATTAATCCAAACCCTCTACCTTACCTCAATCAATTGACACAACACAGGTAGGCAGCGGTCACTCGGGTACACAGTCGAGCGGGTTGGCACTGTTATTGTCTGTGCGTGTCCTTAGGCGTGTTGTCGTTTGTTGCGTCTGCCTGTACTCTCTGTCTTATAATATGAGTACACAGTAAGTTCTGTTTGTGTAAGCCATCTTAGTGTGGATCACCCCAGTTCTAATTCATCGGCCTTCTCTTGAACTTGGGTTGTCCAGATAGTTTTTACAAGATTTCCCACCAATTTGACCCGGCCAACGCGGGTGCTCTACTCCTTTCCTATCTGTTTGTTTCTCTCTTGTAACACGGTGGGTTGTTAGCAGGTGCTCTGGTGTGGTTTGCTCTTTCTTTCCTGTCAAACATCTATCGTCCTTATCTCCCCTTCTTCTTTTTTTATGTTTGTTACTCTCTTGTAACACCTCTGATCTTCTCGCGCTCATATGACCTTATGCAGTTGCGAGTGCCGTAAAACCTCTACTAAAACTAAACTAACTCTCTTGTAACACCTCTAATCTTCGGCACTTATATGACCTTATTGTGTTTCAAGTGCCGTAAAACTCTTAATAAAACGAGAACTGAAGTTAAATCGGAGATCCTGCATCTTGATCTAATACCTACTGCTGAAAAGGGGAGTTGATCTATTCTTGCTGGTACGTGTACTGTGATATTATAATGGCAACTTCACTCTCTTTCTTTCCTTTACTTCTTCCGTCCCTCGTTCTTTTCCTCATACTCATACATAGTTTTATTTTTAGTGTTTTACGGCACTCGAAGCTGCATAAGGTCATATTAGTATGAAATATGAGCAAGCGGGACACATTTTCAGTTGGTAGCAAATTTGAAATTTTGCCCGGGTGGCGGCCGAAGCCAACTCATCGAGTTGGGACCACCAAGGGTCTTTAACATGGCCAACTTGCACACGAGACCTCCGAGATTTTCTGCCCTTGTCCGAGAAGGCTATGTGTAGATCTTTCCTACCAGAAGATCATGGGTGTGGTTGAAAGGCTAGGTGTAGATCTTTCCTACCAGAAGATCAGGGGTGTGGCTGAAAGACAGCAGTAAGAAGGAGCCGAGGAGTAGCAGTAGAAAGGCTGCAGAAAGAGTCAGAGCGCAGAGGAGGTGGCAAAGGAGGTGGGGGCAGAAATTGGAGACGAAATCAGACGACTGAACATTGCTAGAGAGCAGTAAAGGAGGTGAAAGGAGACAATTTTAAAGAAGAAAAATTTCCGTCGGTATCCGGATTTGAACCCGGGACCTATTGAATTAGAGGCAAACACCTTAACTGAAGTTAACCGTTAATCTCTTGGCCACTAGAGCCCCCACATAAACTTCATAAAGTATAGCACGCACATGATAGCGAAATCGATGGGACTCGGAAATCCTCGTATTAAGCCCGAATTTCACAAAGTATATAATATGTTTTAAATACAAAGAATGTAGTATAAAAGAAAATTTTAGGAACCTGAAAATCTGTTCGCTATGTACGTGTTTAGCGTCGTGCGTGCTAGTCTGTATATTATTATATTAATCCAGTCAATCATTCACCTAGTCCCCTACTCACACTCACGACTCACAGTCACTCTCTCTTAGTCTTTCACTCCCAGAACTTAACGAATGCATGTGCTTACTTTAATATCGGAGAGACCCGAAGGAAGTACTTTAAATGCAAAAAATTGTAAGATATTTTTTCCGTCGTTGTTCCCAAAAGAATTTTAGATTCTATGAAGGCCATTGGCCTTTATGGGAAATTGTAAAGAGAAATAAAATTGTTCAAAGTTTTTATGTTATTTAACAGAGTTGTTTCAAATTGAATTTACAGCGAATTTTAATATTTTAACATTTTAACATTTTAAAGTCTGATAGTTGACCGGCCGTGCAGTGAACTGTTGCGAAGGCAACCAACTTGTGTTTCGCGCGCTCGTATGACCTTTTGCAGTTGTGAGCGCCGTAAAACCCCATACTAAACTAAAACTTACTTTAATATTATACTGCGGGTGGTTGGAGGGTGCCACAGATAGGTCCTACATATTATACTCCTTTACTTTCCCTCTGTTGTTTCTGTCTGTCTGTCTGTCTGTCTTATTTTTCCCCAGCACTAAATTACCGTTATTTTGTCGGTGTGCATCTCTTTACCCAAACCAAATACATATTATACTGTAGAGCATACTTAAACTATTTTTTTCCCTATATTATTGCCCGTGTCTGCCTGCTATACATTAAAGAAACGCTGAAACCAAGAGAAAAGCCCGCAAGCTAAGAAACGCTGAAACCAAGAGAAAAGCCCGCAAGCTGCGCACATCCACAAGTGGAAGTGAAGCCTTTAATTTAAATGTGTTTCAACGCAGTGAAATCAGGCAGTCGTCAATTTTTAGGCATGTGGAGTTATTTGCACCATCTGAAAGTTGAAAGCTGGTTTATTTGCCTTGCTTTCAATGAAATAGATATATTAGCCTTCTATCTCGAATAGAACTAGAAATATCTGCGATTGAAGAAAGTGAGGTCTCCTGGTTTCAGTGGTGAAATTAGCTAGAAAATGGCGCTAAAGTTTGGTAACTCCAATAGCTAAATAATCTTTGAAAACAGAAAAACATTTTGTGCCTTTTGTCAATGTTTTTCAGAAAAAATTCACCTGGAAATGTGTTTTTATATAGACATAAAAGAAGAAAAAAACAGCTCAAAAGTACAAGTACTGAAGTAGCTACATGTATTTATTATCACAGACAGTTAAAGTTAAAGTGTGGTACGGTATTTCAATTGTCCTTCCTTCCTTACCTTATCCCAAGATAACCGTACATCAATATAATGATATGAGGCGACTTACTCCCGAGAACCCATTAAAAACCCAACGAAATGATAGAGGAAATGTGCCATAAAATATTAATGAATAATGATACTAATATAATTTATTCATTATTATAAAGATATTGTATTTAGATCTAGCGCACATTAGAATGGTGTTTGTTTTCTCTTTGCCAGGTATTGCTTGATTCCGTCCGCAGATGCCACTTTGGCCCTCAGGGCTTTTATCTCTGGGTATTTGTCCAGTTCCTCCGGTTTGACCATGCTGATCCAATCTGACCCGTCGAAGATCGCGATGTCTGCCAAGGTTATCTGTAGAAAAAAAAACAATCAACAAGAGAAATTGAAAGCACAAGCATGAGATATGGTTAAAGAAAAGTGCCCTTTCAACAGGGGTTTAACACAAATAATACAAACAAAAGTGAAGGTTGTTTATTGTTTAGTTTTTTTGTGTTTTCGGTTTTTTTTTGGTGTGTGGTTGTTGTTGTTGTTTTTTTTGGGG